AGAATTTGGTATACTTACAGCCTACTTTGGAATATGTTTGAAATTTTCCATCAGGCATTCCAAAAAATAGCAGTGTGACAGAGCTGCTTCTGAATCTCCTTTCTGAGAGTACTGAGTGAAGTGATTGCTCAGTCCAGAACTTACGCAACTCAAGTTCTTCATACAAGATGATCAGAGAAATTGTTGTCATTTCCCAGCCCTTTTGTCTCCATAAATAAAACATTACCTTGTTTCTAGTTTTATTGAGAAATAATGGGGTACATCACTATAGTGAGTGTATAGCACAGTGGTTTAATTCTATTGTGAAATGCTAACAATAGGTTCAGGTAGTATCTGTGACTAGATACAGTTAAAAGAAAAAAGGGGGAAAACGTTTCTCCTTGTGATGAGAACACTCTCCTGGACAACTTCCCTGCGCGCCCTGGTGCTCCTTACACGAGGACGTTATCTTACAACGGCACCGTGGTGCCTTCTGCCCTCCTCCGGCGCTCCGCTCCCTGCTGCGCGCCACTTTCATCTTAATCCAGAATTCCCATCCGCGAGTGTGAATGGTAGGTGGCATTTAGGTGCACTTGTGGGTCATTTAGTTTTGCCCTTCACCATTCGAAACAGGTAGCCTGTTCTTATCTCCATTTTACAGGTAAAAAAAATGGAAGAACAAAAAGGTGAAAGCATTTGTTCAAAATTGCAAAAGCATGAAAACATGCAATCCAAAGCTTCAAAGTTTTGCAGTATAACATTCTGCAGTGATCTGAATTTTCAAACTCTTTCCTCAGTGACAATAAATACATTCTACCTTTTTAAAAATGGCTTTAATTTTCTTTCTAGGACCTTTCAGTCGCAGCTAGATGGTAGTGGTCCACTTCCAAGGACAAAGCAACAAAAATTATGAATGAGAATAGTAGAGAATAGAGAAGTACATCTCTTGCAGTCATGTACATTTTCCACCAGTAGAAACTTATATTTGATAGCATAGTAACTGCATGATTTTTATACAGAAATTTCCATTTAAAAAAACCTACCTCACTGCACTACTCTACATTGTTATGGAGACTCGTAACAACTTGTGATGTTGACTGCCATTTATAACACTTTGGTTTATCTTTCACTCTACTCCCTTATTAGGTCCTTACTGTTGGGAAACAGAACAGGTATTACCATCTTTGTCTACCGTGTGAGCATAGCCATCCAGAAAATGAAATGACTTGTCAAGATGGCCAGCAGTATCTCTGAGAACCTCTCCCAGGAAGATCTCTGCTTTCCCCACCCACCACCTGCAGGCCCGACAATTGGCAGTAACAACAGCCATACCTGCCGTGATCAAGTAAGTTGCAACAATGTTGTGTTCCATTTGTGAAAACACCGAGCCACCTTCATTTTCAGAGTCTGAACAGTTGCCGGAATTATTCCTTAGCATTGTAGAAAGGAAGATACTGATGCAGCCTTCACGATAAACCTCCAGTTATTATGAAGTGGCTTAAACCCATCATATGGAAGAATTTTCTAAACTAATCATTTCCAAGTAAACACCTTTACAATGGGCTTTTTCGCCCAATTAACAAATGTAATTGACCAAGGAAAGCATTTTAATTCCCCTAACAAGGGAGAAGTGTATTAGCAAAATACACCACACATTTTAACCAATGTGGGCATGTCTTAGAACTAAGGAGCTTATTTAAGAGTGTGCACACCCCACTTAATAGATGCCAGAAACCAGTGCAGGAGGTGATTTATGCTGGAAATCGGCTCTGAAATTAAGAGCCAGCCTTAGTCCTCTAAACCTTTCTTTGGACCCTTTCACTTTTCCCATTTCAGTTCCTTGTGCCTTTTCCTTCATTTAAATAATGAGAAATAAAGTCATGTCTCCCCAGCCCTCCAAATCTTACCCCCTGAAGATGTAATATAATTTGGGGGATGGGCTTTCTGGTTTGCTTTGCCTTCACAAACCTATTCATAGAAGGGTTTGTGGTTTCTCCCACACTTTCTCCTTTTCAGCATAACGGGGGAGGTGCATCTACACAAGGTGATTCTGCAGGTCTCCCCCCACACCCCCATGCCAGGTCAGTAACCTCAAACTGCTTTTGTCACCATCTGCTTCCTGGCAGCAGACAGCGTGATGCACTCCACAGTCCGGCTCACTGCTTTACCCACTGCTGTGATGTGCCCAGTAATTACCTGATAGTCCTCGCACACCAGCAGTATCTGTCTTCAGTCCCTCATTTTGTACATTCTAATGTTCTGGACTATATGAGTCAGAAAGTGGGTCGCAGTCTAGCTAATGACCATTTTTTGTTACAACCAGACATCCCTACCACGCTGTCCCCCTCATTCCTCATGTCATACAGCATTATTAAAATTTCTCCATAGTGGATTTCTTGCAATAAGTAAAATGTGTGGAGTGCTGGGTGCACTGAGGTTAAGTGGAGGCGCCTAACAGAACCGCTAGGGGGCTATAGCTACCCACAGTTTAATTTCACCCATTTTTCAAATGGCATAGCAAAAGGCACCCACAGTAACCCTTTTGCCTCTGTAGTTTCAGCTACATGTAACTGAAGTGGGAGTGTCCCAGGTTTTATAGATACCGGTACTCAACATCTTCTAAATACTTCAGAGAATGTTCACACAGGAAAGTGAATCTTTTCAGTATCCCATTATGGAAATACTTTCAAAAGATCCTACAGAATGAGCGTAATACCTAGAAAAACCCAAGTTGTTGGGTTTTAAGTTACAAATTCCTTCAAGCATTTCTTTCCCCAACACCATCCCTTAATACCTCTTTGATCCCACCACACCTGGACCTAAATTCAGAAACCCCATTTTGTTAGTTTCTCAGCTGTTTGCTTCGTGAAGTCGTCAGCTTGTGTGCATGTCATCTGGCCTGGTCCTTCCTTCACTGTACACCATCCCCTCGGCCTCCTTGCAGTTTGCCGTAAGTGGCAGCATCTCGCCTTTCCTTCTAACTGGTCTCCCTGTGGGGATGTGCCATGTCTTGTCCTGTCCGCTCCATCACCAGGCGCCAAGTGGTTTCCATATCCTTGCCGCTAGGAATGCACTAGTCAACACTGCAGTTTGGGGGTTGACGGTCTCATGTTACTCAGTTAAGATGCCCGAGTCGTGTGGTGGACCACATGGTATTTCCAAGTTTAGTTTTTTAAGGCAAGTCCAGAGTGTGCTCCTTAGTGGCGGCACCAGTATACAATCCAGCAGCTGTCAGGGCTTTCCTTTGTCCCAGTCCACTCCAGCCCCTGGTGGGGGTCTTCTGAATATGGGCCATTCTCATGGGGTGAGAGGATACCTCCTTGTAGTTTCCATCTGCCGCTTTTTTTTTTTTTTTTTTTAAAGATTTATTTATTTATTCATACAGAATTGGGGTACAGGCCAGAGATGTGCAGGTTGAGAGGATTCACCAGGGACAGAGTGGAGAACAGAACAGGCAGATGGACGAAGTACACTGCTGAGGGGAGCAGCGGGCGGGTCAGGAGAGGTCTGCCACGCCATGTGGATCTCCTCCGGGGCAGGCGGGGATCAAACTCATGTGGAAGTGGCTTTAGCTTCTTAGTGCAGTGCTTTAACCCGCTGCGCCACCAGGGAGGGCCTGCCGCTTTTTTTTAAAAAGTCTGTATTTGTTTATGCATGCAAGGGCTGGGGGTGTAGGCCAGAGGTGCAGGGGTGGACATGGTGGTGAGAGGATTCAGAGAGTGGGGAGCAGAAGTGGAGACAAAGGAGGTCTGCTGCGCCACATGGGTCAGCTCCCTGGCTGCGGATAGTGCAGACTTAGCTAACCCTGTACCACCAGGGAGGCCCCTTACCTGCACCTCTCTTATTGAGTAAACATTTTCCCATTGATTTTCCTATTGATGTAAAACCAAAATTTTGTTTGCTTTGGTGCAGTCTCTTTCTTTTCTGTAATACATTACACCCCATTGTGCCATCATTAAAGTTCTTTTGGAATAATTATTTCCACTTATAGGAAAGAAAAAAAATAATTCTGATATAATAACTCTAAAAATAATTCAGGCCTTAGAGATACAAGTATGATACATTTAAACTACTTTTCCCCACTTCTTGCATGAGTGACTCAGAAAGGGTGAGGCTTACAATACTAGGAAGTCATGCTTACATAGTTCAAGAGTCTTAAATGCCCTAAAATCAGTTCTCCTTTCGTAACTTTTCCCAAATTTTTGGGACTACCAGGAAACATCGCTTATAGTCTACTAAATTGTTTTAATTGCCGTGTTGCTAGTTAACATCTCAAGAGCTAAAATGTTTGAGTTGGCAGAATAGCTTTCCAGTGGAATTCAGCAGTACTTGCCATAGCACCAGACTCCGAACAGGAAGCTCCCTCAACATGAACTTGATTCAAAATTAAGTACTCCAAAGGGAACCCAGAAAAACTACTATAAGGTGAAAAGCAAACAAAACAAAACAAAAACAAACACATGGAAATGTGGATGTAAAAGTTGAAAGATAGCCAGCCAGTAACTAAGATCACACTTCAGGTACAAAGTTAATGTCCAAAGGGTTTTTCTAATGACTGACCCACTACTTCCTTCTTAACAATTTTGACTTTTTTTTTTTTAATGTTAAGAAAGTGTAAATGTTAAGAAAGGTAGGGAAGTTGTACTATTGTTTTTTTGGGTTTTTTTTTTGGGGGGGGATAATGCTATCACCTCATCTCTTTTACAAAGCAAGGGTGAAAACCCTGGTCCTCTTCCTGCAGTGTTCCCCCCCAAGATTTAAAATCTAACAGCTTCCTCCTTCCACTTTGTAAAATTATAGCACTGCCTTCTGTGCAAAGGTGGCTGTCGACATTAAGGGTGCTAATGTGCTTACAGTAAGCATTTTGAAAGGGGTGCTGATGGTGGGTGATGTTGGAGTATTGCTCCAGTAGCCTATCTTTTGAAAATGAGTTACAGGTATAAACAAGTGAGTCTTTCAATCGGTAATCCTTTGGGTTTAAGCTTAAGTTGTTCCTGGCTTAGTAAGCACAGCTCTAAATAGGAATAAAACATTTTATTTTAAAAGTTCAAATATGCCTCAAATGAAAACTGTCCACTTATTATATAACACCCAGAGCTCCCTGATGTATAAAATATTAAAATAACTTGTTCATGCTCTTTTAGAGCAAAATCACTTATTCCATTGCATTCATTTTGCATGATACTGGTATTTTAGTCCCACTGTCACAAAATGACCATTCTTCAGGACTTGCTCAAGAAACAAGTTTCCAATCCATAGTCGATCATGCCGGTAAATGCAGACGCCCACCGGAGAGGCTTCTCTGTCCTTACACTTAATGTCCTCTTCCTGATTGAGAGAGAATGAAAATATTAAGGATATACAGAAAAATGAACTTTCATGTACTATTACCCAAATCTCAAGCTTTAAATCACTGTACTGCCTATAGTGGTTAACTATACACTTTCCCAAATCTAAATTGACGTTCATAATACAGCTTTATACTTTTTATCTTAGCAATACAGGAAAGTAAAGTAGAAGTAGGGAGGAAAAATTCAAAGGTAAAAGGAAGAGTGGTACAAAATGAACCTATAAGCTGGGCCAAAGCAAAGAATCCCATGGATATACTTGAGGTTCAGGCCATGATTTTGTTTTTACTCACCTCTGAAACCACCACCTCCTCTTCCTCCTCTGAAGCCTCCACCTCCTCTTCCACCTCTAAAACCACCTAAAAATGAAGGAAATATTTACAAAGTAACCGTAGCCCAGCATAATGATAAGCCTACATACATCAGTATGACCCCTGCTATTATACAGAATGACGACATGTACTCTTGCAGTAGATCTGCCAGCTCTGCTCCCCACTCTGTCTGGTGAATCTTCTGGCCTACATACCAGTTCTTGTATGCATAAATAAATGCAAATAAATCTTCACCCCCCCCCCAAAAAAAAAAGGAAGAAGGAAGTCCAAATCTCTAAGAGACACTCCCCTAGCAACCAGATCCGAACAGCACCGTAGCAGGGTGAGCACTCCAGTGTCCTCATCTTGTGACCTACCACCCGGGTGATCTGAGCACCCCAAGGCTGCACCCCACTTCAGTCCAGGTCTGCTCACCACTCGCTATCTATGTCAATGAAGGTATTTATTTCACTGAAGGATTAAATTGGTAATAGTCTTTGACATGACATCAGACATAGGGATTTTACACCTGGGCTAGCTAATGTCTGGTTAGGGCAAATGCACTTTTGTAAGCCGCCCTTCCTCACCCCACAAAGTTTTAGTGGAATAGTAAAGGAATGTACATGGATATTGAAAGCATATGTGATCAGCACTCAGAGACAATGACATCAACTAAAAAAATAAAATCAATATAATTTTATAAAATATGCAACAAAACAGGAACTCCCAATTGCACCATATTAGTATATTTTTGTTTCTAAATGATACTGAAATTCAGTACCATTGCAAAGGAAATGTGCCAAAATTTAAAAATAGTTAACTAAAAAGATAAGCATAGGGAGGTTTGCCTGTGTTACACTGCACTGTGCGAAATGGCTGCGACTTTGGAGTCTCACGAGAAATTCTCCACAAGTAACTCACCTCCTCTCCCACCTCTGACGCCACCTCCTCTTCCACCACCTCCTCGGCCTCCTCCGCGGCCTCCCCTGCCACCACCTCTTGGGGGTCCCTTCTCGCCTGGAGGTCGCGGTAGAAACCTCTGCAGTGGCAGCAGCTTATACGGGTCTATATAAAACTGGGCAGAAACAATCAGCAGGATGACTTGGGGATGGGACGGTCAGTCACCAATACACACTGTACACAAAATGACGCAGTACAGCGTCCTTGTGAATACTAAGTGAGGTATAGAAAATATGCAAACTAGCCAGTCAGTAAGCGCTACCTACAGAGAAATAAAAACCAACCTAATTTCTCATTAGAAATACAGAATGCCTTCCAAAATTAACTGCATTTTATTTAGAAAAACTGATTAAGCCTTTGGCAAAATTTGCCATCAAATTCAGCAAAATTTACACTGACATGCTGTTTCAAGACCTTAATAAAGTATCAAATCAATAACTACTGAACATGAAAAGTATCAAAAATATGCAGAAAGTCAACCAACACTGTATCTGTAGGATATTTATCATGACAATGAAATCTGAAAGGGTATTTTACAGTACTACACAAAACACTCAGAATGGCTTCAACACTGTAAGGCATTACAGGAATTTTTAAGCCCTTTCTAGATACCATCTTACCACTTCCCTTAAGAACCCATCCTCTAAAAATTCTCCTAAGGCCGTGCTGTCCAATCGGACCACCAGCCCAGGTGTGGCTTAGATTTATATTAACAATGAGAAACTCAGCTGCCGAGTCACAAACACCGTATGTCAGGTGCTCATAGCTTGTAGCTGTGGGTACAGCACTGGGCAGGAAATTTGAGCATTACGCAGCTTGACTGGACAGCACTAAACCAGAGACCACTGCGATCACTTAGGCTAGAAGAGGACTCGAACCTAAACTCTGGACTTGGAAACGGGGAAAAGTGGGACCAACTCAGCATCTGTGAAAAAGGAAAACACCAAGAAACCCTCCTCACATGCTGTGAGGAAAAGCAGGCGTCCTGATCAAAACTTCTGTGGCTCTGACAGGCCTGTTAGTAAGGCCCCACAGGAGGAGATGGCTGCTGGGCCCAGCAGGAGCAGTGCAGTTTCCCACGGGTACTTGCCAGGTCTCCAGAGCCAGTGCACGGCCCTGTCCCTCCTGAGCTGTTCTAGTCAAGTTCTGGGCCACTGTCCACGGAGCCAGCTCTGCTGACCCCCGCGTGGCTGCACCCGTCTGGCGTCTGGAGCACCTTTTTCAGGTGTGTGGCTCCACTTCTGAGCTCTGGTGTGCTGCCTCCTTCCTGGCAGCTACTTCTGTCTCCATGAGACACTTACGTGTAGGAGCTGTCCTAGGCTGTCTGTACAATGACAGCTTCCCATTTGCTCACCAGCTCCTCTGAGCATCTAACCATGATTCTCACAAGGCTCCAAGTGCCCACAGTGAGCTTGTTATCTTCTCCCAAGGCCTTTCTCCAGTGCTGCCTTTTTTGGTAAAGATGCTGAAAACCAGACTTCTGAAAGATGGTATAGTTTTCACTGCACTTGAATAGCTCACTGGACCAAAGCCTGTCCTGCCCTTTCTCTATTTCATAAGTCCATCCACTTTACCCCATTTCCAGTGCCACCACTCTAGTCCAGGCTACGTCTCCCAGGAGTAAGGCAACAGCCTCTGGCAGGCCCAGCAGATGCTCCACTCCTGATGCTCTGTATCTTCCCAGTCCTTTGTCTTTAAAGTGTAAACTTAATTGTATTTCAAAGTAAAAGCAAAGTGTAAAGTCACTCCCAGACCCCTATACCCTGAAGTCACAGGACATCCCGACCTTTTCAGCCTAATTCACAACTCCCCCACTCTCCCAGGTGTTCTGGCCAGGCTGTCCCTGAGTTTTCAGAGGCCTGCACGGCATCACCGTCTCACAGATGCGCACACTCCTTGCAAGAAATACTTTCTGAAAGCCTATATATGGAAATTACACACAGAATCAGTAAATTTAATGTCAAAAGTATAGAACATGTATTTAAGAACTTTCACTAGTGATGTACGAGGGGAGAGCGGGGCCCAAGCACCCCTGCATAGGACCGTCCTTAGGTAGGTCATTCACTTGGAAAACCAGGTATCTCAGGTATAAGCACGACTCACCTTCTGTAGTTTTTTAAAAGAAGACGCCTTCATGTTTTCTGATAACTTAACTGAAAAATACTATTAATTGTATTAAGGAATCAACAACTAACATCAAAGAAGATAAGCAAACCTTCTCAGTTCAACAAGGACATTATTTAGGAAAAGAAATGCATTTCCAAGAGGAAATGAAGGCTTACTTTTTGGCTTTGAAGCTTCCGATTCCACATCACTATTCCAGTGACAACATCACATCCAATTAAGTAAGTCAGCACCCCAATCCTGCATGCTTCCCTAAATGGCAGTCATTCTAAAACCTTTCAGAAGAGAAGCCTCCTTTATAGGCTCTATAGTTTCAACACACGTGGAAATACATTCGTTCATAATTCCCCTAAGTTCAATTTTAGCAGAAGTGTCCAATTTCATGAAGCAACAGGCTTTAAGCAACACTTAGCCTCAGAAAAAGTAGGTATCTTTGAATGAGATGGTTAAGTCTGGAGCTGAAAAGGATACAAAATCTCTAAGTTGTCCAAAGATTTCATCCACTTTTCCAATTTGCTCTTTGTTTTCTAAATAAACTGGAGCGTTGAAATAAGGCACCTTATTTTCTTCTGTGGTACATTTACAAACTATGTCATCTTCACAGGGATGCATGAACTCTCCTAATACTGAAAAAGGACAAGAAAATATTAGAAGACAGCTTTAAGTGGCAGTGACCATCTGACAACTTTCTTCTCTGCTGCCTGGGACTTCACATCGGTTTGGCACTGAAGCAGGGCAGCCTTGCTGGGTTGGGGTACCAGCCGTGTGGTCCAGGTAAGGTTCTAACCTCTCGTGTAGGACCCTAGGGTTGTCTTTAACACACACCTAGCAACTGTACTGACACTTCACAGTATTGAGGGCTAAGGCGATCATCAAGGTAAAGTGCTTGGAAAAGTGAGACCACTCAGCCATTAACAGTGATTTTATTGTAACTTTGGCTCATCTTCAGTTGCAACTGCTAAGTGTACAGCAAGTCTTTGTTCTGCTGTGTTCTCTCCCCTTTCGTAGCTTACCCACTACCATCTTCTCACCAAGGACTGCTTGCTCAGTGTTTTTTGGGAAGTCTGGAATCTCAAAATACCTTTGTGTCACCTTGTTTCTGCAAAACTGACTTCTCATTCCCATCACCCAAGCTCAAAATTTTATTCGCAGTATTGGAATAAGTTCGGATTTTCCCCCCCACATTGAAATTACTCTTTCCTTGTCTTTTCTACCATGTTAATGCCTCACCTGTGGGCTGCTGCAGCAGCGTAGGCTAGAAGCTGACCCAGCACTGCCCCTGCCCTTCTGCATCTGATCCAACCTTGTCTTTGTATCCAACTCTTCTGTCACATTGTAACTCCCGTTCCCTGACTTCCAGCAATCCTCTCTCACTTGACAATCACTTCAGACCCATGTAGAAAGGCCTTTTCTTCGGTGACACCCCTTCTCGGTCTCCCTTACAAACTCTTCTCCCTCTCTCCCCCATAAGTAGTACTTAAAACGGCTTTGGAGTCAAGACAGCTTGTGGTTTTTGCCCCTCAAACTTAAAATGCCCACTGACACCGACGGTGCTCCTAGCAAATACAGGGATCCGTGTCCTGTCCGTGAAATGGGACAAGAGGCATTGCAAGTGGTATCGCCCACGTAATGTATGCCTTTTTTGTCGAAGTTCAAGTTCCTCTACGACAAAGCCCAATGCCCTTGGGTTTTCTTGATTCCCCCACTCCGTGCCACAGCAGGATTATCCGTTCACAGCGTCTCCACAGATCTGCTCCCACCGGGCAGTGCCCCTGCGGTGCGAGCTGCGGACCTTACCCAGCCCCCCGCCCCCGCCCCCAGCGGGCCGAGTGCGAAGCCGACGTACAAACCACTCGCTCCGGAGGCCCTAGGTCTTGGCCTTTGTTGAAGCCTCCCCGGCCACCTCCTCGTCCAAATCCCCCTCGGCCTCCGCCGCCTCTGAAACTGCCGCCGCCTCCACCTCGGAAGTGGTTGTTGCTGCCGCCGCGGTTGAAGCCGCCGCCGCCTCGGTGGAAGCCCCCGCGCCCGCCGCCGCCGCCCGCCCCCCCCCCCGGCCCCCCCCCCCCCCCCCGCCCGCCGCCGCGGAA